GAGAGAGAGAGAGAGAGACAGAGCATTGGATGGTCTTTGTTCGAGGCACAGGCTTGGTATAGCATGGCCAAGCGAGAGGAACGTCGAAGAACGTGCGCAACCGGCAAGATTCCCCGCTCGTGCTTGAAGGAACAGGGAGGCGTTGTAATACCTGAACCCTAAACCCTAAACCCTAAACCCTAAACCCTAAACCCCTAAACCCTAAACCCTAAACCCTAAACCCTAAACCCTAAAGCTAAGTAAGGAAACTCTACTATGCATCGTTAAGCCTGCCCATAAACACAGCTGAGATACATTGAGGTACATATTCCTATATGGTTGCTACTCGCAGTGATCCTTGAGGTAGAGGCCCTAGACCTGAGGCCTAAGCCAAAACCAACCCTAAACCCTAAACCCTAATACGGCTGAAACCGTAGCCCCAAATCCAGACGGTAACCCCATGCTCTAGACCCTAAACGCTAAGCTTCCAAATCCCAGATGCCCTGCCCCAACCCCTGAACCGTAAAGTCGAACTCAGGGAGACGCTGCTACAGGCAGAAACCAGAAAGGCCTGCGACAGAAACTACACCCTAAACCCTGAACCCTAAACCCTAAACCCTCCTACTAAGTGTCCGATTCAATCGCCAAGAACCCCCCTGGAACGACAGAGTTGTCAAGGACCTCTCGAAGCAGCCGGAAGAGGAGGTTCCAGAAACAACGAGCGAGGAATCGACCCTTGGGATGTTACAGGTTTAAGGCGTTTAGGGGTTTAGGCCGAGTCAGCTGTCCTGGCGTGACGTTGCAAGCCAGTTGCAAAAAAGGGTTTAGTAAGGCGTTTAGGGTTTATAGTTCGCCTTGTTTGGTTTAGGGCGGTGGTTTAATGTGTTTGTTTTATGGATAGCTAGTTCCCTGTTTGTTTTGGTGAGTGAGCGGCTTAATGTTGTGTTTAATGCAGGCTTCTTAGGGTGTGAATGAGGCTGTTGGCGTTTTGTGGGGTCTTTTGTCGTTTGATTGTCTTTTGGTGTGTTTTATCGGAAATAGGGTACCCTAAACCCCTAAACCCCTAAACCCTAAACCCTAAACCCCTAAACAGGCGGGTTTGTCGGTGCTTGCTGGGCCAGTCATGGAGCTACGGTTAGGCTAGGGGCCTAGGCTTAGCCGAGCGGAAGGATGCATGGGTAGTCCTTACCCAGACCCCCAAAAGGATCTAAAAAATAAATCCCCTAAGGGGGTTCCTATAAAATACCCTTTAGTAGTTAGGGTCCCTAATTAGGGGTTCTATTCTTTAGATCCTTTTGGGGGTCTGGGTAGGGGCACTTAGAAATAATTTTTAATCTTTGGCTACTATAAACCCTTAGAAGCACCTAAAATAAAAATTTGTGCTAGGCGTCTAAGTTCAGTATAGAGTCAGTTTGAGTATGCAAGGAAGACCTGAAGAGCTATACCCTCAACATCCTGCCACATTTGAGTTTGAGCATCTAATAGGGGTCGAAATAACTAGTAGGCGTGTCGCCTTACAGCCCCTGACTAGAACTATACTGTAATGGACCCGAAAGCCCCAGATTCGATTGTGGCGGTGGCGCGGTCGTAAGAAAATCCGCGCAGCCGAGCGCCGCCGAGCAGCCGAGCGCAGCCGAGCGCA